GGCCTTGTGAGGAAGCTTAAGATGGTGATAAGTGTAAGCCTAAGGTTTAATCTTGGGAGGAGGCCTAACTTGGTGACAAGTGGAGGGGTGAGATGTGTGTGTGTGTGAGAGGTAGTGCTAGCATACATAGTACTTTAAGTTAGTGAAGGAATACACCATTCTCAACTAACTTTCCTTCTTCTTCCCTTTCTAACCTTAGCCACCACCATTGAAGCCACCTTTGACCTAGCCTCCATTGTTGAATTTTGGAGCCTTTCCCCTCACCTTTGAGCTTAGGTCTTGGAAGACAAAAGCTTCCTCTCATCCACCTCTAGAACAACCTTGCCTAGTTTTTCGATTTGTGTACGTTTGCTTTGGATTCTAGAGCTCTCTACTCTAGTAAGGTAGGGGATGTCTTATGTTTATACCCTAAATGGTTTAATGCTTAAATTTGAGTTAATATATATTGTTTGCATGCTTATATCTTCTAGGTATTGCATATAGGTAGCTATTGTATATTATTACCTAGGGTTTCTTGTTGTAAGTAGCTTGTATATAACCTATATCAATTATTTGTGTTGTTTTCTTTGAAGTAATCTAGAATTTAGAGATTTTCATGTATAGTGGTTACTTGAATCTAATGATTTTCTATGTGCAAGGATTACTTAAATTGTGTATAAAGCATGTCTATGAATTATTGTATATTCAATGCTTTGACGATGTGGAAATAAGGACATGAAACTTTGCTATGTAATAAGAGTAGTGTATTTTCATAAATTAGCTAGTTGTTGTAGCTTAGAGAATTACTTTGTAATTTGTAGAGATATTGTTCTTGTGTGTGAGTCATGGTGTGTACGCCACTAAGGCTTTAGAAGCATGGTGGTCATCATTATGTCGTTTATGAGGTTTAAGTTATGATGCTTAGCATGTATAACAAGTGTGTAGGATGGACGTAATCCGAATTAAAAATAGTGGACATTGCGTTTAGTGGGTGAAAGGTCCATGGAACATTGGCCAATGGGGTGTGTAAGTGCATCGATCTTGTTTTCGTGTCAGGGATTTGATTCTGGCATGATTTTTCGTTACTTTATGTCAAGGGGTTATTATATGAGTTGCGTCATAGAAGAGTTTATATACAAATTGTTTGGTACCTCTTGGAGTGATGTATATCTTGTTATCCTACTCGCTTTGTGGTAGTTGTCATTGCAAGTATACACTTATTGCTTGATTCTATTTTTATTTGCAAGTTAACATTACTTTTGAAGTTGTAGCTTGTCGAGTTCATTTGTAGTAAATGTCTTATATTATGTTACAAATGTAGCTTTAGGTTATCCTTTAATTTCTCCTTTGAACTTAGACGTTAGGTGGTATGATCCATGTGAATTTGGTTTATATTAAACTTGTAAATTCGTTAAAACTTTAGGTTATATGCATATACTTTTCCTATGAGTAATGTAAGTTATTCACCCTCACTGAATGCAATTTTTTAGGTAAGAAGATCTTGTTTTGGGATGCACAACATCCCTAAGTTGGCTTGGTAGTTTGGGCGTACTTTCGTGTAATTTCAAATGCATGTAAGTGTTAACATGTTTTACTTTCCTTTTGAAGTTGTAATGTATAGCTAGATTATGACATGTCGTTTTTAATTCGGGATATGTAACGTGTACCTAAGTATACCTTTTGAAACTCTTTTTATATGTATGATATGTGGCTAAGGGCCAAACATCTTTTAGTTTACATGTACGCACTTTGGTTTATGCTTTACTTATGAATGTAATTATATGAGCTTTGGAGGTTTGATAGGTGATATTTAGTATTTGGCGTATATTGAGGCCACGAGCCATTGTAGTGCGTGTAAAAATACATATTACGTTTGCATGTACGTTCACTTTTGCACACAACATCACATTTGCATGAAATGGATGTTTTTGGATTCAAGTATTTTCATTATTTTGCAAAATATGCGCATAAGGGCATTATGGGTATTTCACTTGCAAAATAAGAATTGGTTTTAACATGGTTGTGTATAAAACATGATTTTAGGGGGGGGGGGGGATTGCTTCATAATTCTTTTTCAAAACAATTCGTTTAGGTATCAAAAATTAGTCGCAGCCGCAGAAAATCTGGTGCAACGCATCAATTTCTGCAGGCGGTGATCGATCAGCGATCCCTCTGGGCACCCTTAAATTTTGGCTTTTATTTTCAAAACTTCGAGGTTGCATATATTTGTCATCTAGACTCTGAATCAGGCAATTCTTGAATTTAACTTTATTAATTTTTTGTTGTCTTTCTAATGGTGTGCACGGTGGCACCCATATTTATTTTGAAATTACTATTTTACCCCTATGGTTGTACTTACCCATTTTTAAAACTTCGCTTCCGCATTTTGTTCTTTTTGGGTTCCATAATTTTATAGGAAGTTACTTTGGGCGTCTTAAGGATGATGTACATCTCTAGAGACTATGTTTCTCTTTTCCCTTCAGCATTTGGGATTCGTTATCGTGTCATCTTTCAAATCATCACAGACGCACCGGGTTTGTAAAAACTTGGGCCTTCACACACAGTGCCCCCTGACTTGAAATCCTGGCTCCATCCCTAGATAAGATCATCATCTCCATTTAATAGCATTTTGCCACAATCCTCAAGAAATTCATAAAACATATTCAATGCCATACTAGTCTGATTATAAACATATTTAAGCATAAATGCATAACCAGATGAGTACAACTCTAAAAAAACGATAACCATTTGGATGCATCCCTTTCATAATATGTATGTGACCACCAAACTTAACTATGAGATCATGGACTTTGTCATTAGACTCCTGCAACTGAGAAAAATAATTCACACATGCATAGGATAGGCACTGTTAACAAAACATGCAATAGAAACATGTTTACAAGCATGAAATTAATCATAATTCGAAAGACAACATGCATAGGCTAGGCATTGTTAAGACAAGAACCAAACCAAGTGATTGACACAGTTTATGTCTACCAGAGCGGGACACAAAATTGCCACTAATTTTGCAAAGTCCGTCATACAATAAACATTCACAGATCAATCACTATGGTTGCAGAAAGTCAGTAGTATTAACATGCAATCTCATCAAATTGGACATGCAATTTCACCAAAAAAAAAAAAAAAAAAAAAACACCAATTTTTTGTAAATTAATGGATAAAAATGAAAACCACATACCAACAAATGTCGCCAAGAGATTAAATGGTAAAGAAAACAAGAACAAAATTTTAGAAAAAAAAAGCCCCAATTACAAACTCTATATGCAACAAATTTCACGTCACATAAATTGATAAAAAAAACCCTTAAATCAGAAACCCTATATACAATATATTTCACAAAATAACAACAAATCGATAATAAAACCCTCAATCAAAAACCCTATATGCAACCAATTTCATGACACAACAATAAATTTATAAAAACCCCTAAGCAAAAACCCTATATGCAACAAACTTATAAAACTCTCCATAAGAAACCCCTAAATCACTAAGGTTACATAACGAAACACCAAGTCAGAGAGGAAAAAAATGAGATCAGACTTAAGTGAATGGTCCTCTCGAACAAAAGCACGTGTGGTGGTGGTTTTTTTAGAGACAAAGTAGCTGATTGGTCTTGGCGAGATTGTGAACAACCAAACAACTGAACACACATAGCAGAAACCACCAAATTTTCAAACGCTTGATCACATCGAACCATAAACTTGAGCGTTCCAAAATTAGGGTTTCGAAATGAGCAACATGGTTACAATAGGGTTTTAGAGAGGAAGAAATGTATGGTGATATGAAAAGAATAAATAAAAGGTTAGAGTGAGAGAGAGATAGATGGTCTGTGGCAGTATGTGGATGCTGGTTAGAGATTATGTAATGAACGGGTTAGTGAGTGTAAGTGGGATGGTGGTATAATCTGGCGCCAAGTGGCGCCAATTTGTGGCTAAGATGAACTCAGGGACAATTGCATCTTTTTAATATGTCGGATATTTTACAATAAATCCGATTTTAATATTAAGGGATAATTTCATCTTTTCAGAAGATTTAAAACCTTGTTTGGTTGGAATTTCATATAAGGGGTGTTATTGTCAAAAAAATAACTAAATTGTATATGTTTGTCCTTTTGGCAAACTTTAGCATTGTTACTATACTTTATTCAAAAAAAAAAAAAAAAAAAAAAAAAAAAAAAAAAAAAAAAAAAAAATCTCAAAGGCTCCCACAAATTTCAACAATATTTTCTTATATTAAAATTTGATTTTAGGACACAATTAATTAAAAATTAAGAATTTAACGTGCAATGGATCCTTCCCTTAGTCCAACGTAAATTCGTAATGGATCCTTCAGTCAGTCCAAACATCTTTGTCGTCCGGTGATTAGACATAGTAGGAATGGTGTCTTTCAATGGGTCCACCTAACGAATGTATTGTTGACTTTTCCAAGGAAGAAACAGTGTTTTGGATGACCTAGTCAAATCTTTAAATTTTGAGCGAAAAAAAAAAAAAAAAAAAGAAAGAAAAAATAAAAAGAAAATCTGTTAGTGAGTGTAGGTGGGATGGTGGTATAATTTCGCCCCAATTGCGTCCTTTTAATATGTCAGATAGTTTACAATAAATTCAATTTTAATATTAAGAGATAATTTTGTCTCATAAAAATTCTTATAAATGGTGTTATTGACTAAAAAATAGATAAATTGTATATGCATATTATTTTGACAAACTTCAGATATGTTATTGAACTACACTTTAAAAAAAAAAAATTCAAAGGCTTACGCAAATTTTAACAATATTTTCTTATATTAAATTTTGAGTGGCACACAATTAATTAAAAATTAAGAATTTAACGTTGCAGTAATGGTTAGTCCAACGTAATGGATCCTTCAGTGAGACCAAACATCTTTGTCCTCCGGTGATTAGACATAGTAGGAATGGTGTCCTTCAATGGGTCCACCTAATGAATGTATTGTTGACTTTTCGAACGAAGAAATAGTCTTTTGGATGACCTATTCAAATCTGTAAATTTTGTCTGGTGCGGAAAAAAAATAAAAAATTAGAAAAAAAAAACGAAAAAGAAAAAGAAAATCTGTTACTGGAGATTGTAAAGATAACCGACTTTTGGTATTTTTGTTCCTTCAACTTTTTGTTCTGAAAATGATAATCGGAGAAACATTTCTATGTGTTGGTTGTTCAGCTTTTACTACTAATATTTTGCAGGGGAATGAAACCAGCTCTTGGATCATTCACTACTTCAAGAGATGGAGCTGATCCTAAAGTGATGTGCGTAGAGAGGGAGAGACAAGCTCTCCTTGAGTTTAAACGTGGGCTCATTGACGATTTTGGCCGCCTCTCTTCTTGGGGAGTTGAAGAAAGACAAGAAAGACTGCTGCAAATGGAGAGGAGTCCGATGTAGCAATCGCACTGGTCATGTGATGGAGCTCGATCTTTATGCCCCCCGGAACATTTCGGGCTATAATCATCTTTCTTTGAGAGGTAAGATTAGTCCTTCATTACTTGAATTGCAGCATTTGAAGTATTTGGACCTCAGTTCCAATGATTTTAATCTTGAATATACTAATTTTCCAGGCACGGTTCCAACTCAGTTTGGGAATCTTTCCGAATTGCGTTATCTTGATTTGGGCTATAATTATGAAGTGAGTGTAAAAAGTTTAGAGTGGGTTTCTCATCTTTCTTTATTAAGATACCTTAACATGGACTGGGTTGATCTTAGCAAAGCAATAGATTGGATTGTTTTCATTGAGAGAGTTGTATCTTTCATACAATCGCTTCATTGGACCACTACCCAAAAGTATTGGGCAACTTTTCATGCTCGAATTTTTGGATGTCTCTTCAAATTCTTTAGAAGGTACAATCTCCGAAGCCCACCTCTCAAATCTCAACAACTTACAATGGTTGGACTTGTCTTCTAACTCTTTGGCTTTAGACTTCAATTCTGATTGGAATCCTCCCTTTCAACTGGATGGCATAAACTTGCGGTCTTGCCGGCTGGGGCCTCGTTTCCCAAACTGGCTTCAAACTCAAACCAATTATTCTCAGCTTGATATCTCCAATTCTAGAATTTCAGATATTGTCCCTAAGAAGTTTTGGGATTTATCTCCTAAGCTTTTTTACCTAAATCTCTCTTACAACCAGCTCAATGGCAAGGTGCCTGATTTGTCATTAAAGACAGTTTTTTATCCTGTAATAGATTTGAGCTCCAATCGCTTCGAGTGTCCAATAGCACCATTTCCTCCCAACGTGACAGCATTGCATCTCTCTAAAAATAAGTTTTTTGGGTCAATTTCTTTCTTATGTAACTTAAATAGTAAGTTCCTTGGCTCTGTTGACCTCTCATACGATCGATTATCAGGGGAGCTTCCTGATTGTTGGATGCACATGCAAAATTTAGCCATTCTTAATTTGGCTAACAATAATTTCTTCGGGAAAATTCCTTGGTCTATGGGCTTCCTCTATGAGCTTCGAACATTGCACTTACGCCACAACAATCTCGTTGGGGAGTTGCCTTCATCGTTGAAGAACTGTGGAAATTTGATTATTTTTGACTTGGGAGAAAATAAATTATCGGGAGTAATACCAACATGGATAGGGACACACCTAGAACTTTTAGTTGTTCTTAGTCTGCGATTGAATAAGTTCCATGGATACATACCTGTAAATATATGCCATGTCAACTCTATTAAAATCTTGGATCTCTCTCGTAACAATATATCTGGAATCATACCCTGGTGCTTTAGTAATTTTACTGCTTTGGTTTGGGGGAATGAATCAAAAGGAAAGATTACTTATTTTTATGGATTTCATGCTGGTACTCGTTACTATTACATCAGCGAATTAGAATATGAGGACAATGCAATAGTGCAATGGAAAAGAGAAGAGTTTGAATTCAAAAATAGTCTAGCACTATTAAAAAGCATCGATCTCTCTGACAATAGATTAGTTGGGAAAATTCCTGAAGAGATCTCGAGTCTTACTGGATTGGGTTCCTTGAACTTATCATGGAATTATTTGATGGGACATATTATTCAAAAGATTGGTCAGTTGAAAATGTTAGAATCTCTGAACTTATCTAGAAACCAGCTTTTTGGTAAGATTCCTATAAGCATCACTCATTTAAATTTCCTTGCTATCTTGGATTTGTCGAATAACAACTTGTCTGGAAAAATTCCATCAAGCACTCAGTTGCAGAGTTTTGATGGCTCTGCATATGCTGGAAATCATGAACTTTGTGGACTTCTGCTTCCAAATAAGTGCCCAGGAGATGAAACAACTCTTCATCCTTCCATTACCAATCATGGTGCAGACAACATTATTCAAGGGGATGAAGATGGGTTTATCAACCGAGAATTTTATGTCAGCATGGGGCTAGGTTTTGGGATTGGATTTGGTGCAGTCTTTGGCACTTTATTGCTTCAACGTTCATGGGAATATATCTTTTTCAAGTTCTTGAACAACATAAAAGATTGGCTTTATGTGACAACAACAGTGAATATGGCCAGAGCGAGGAGGTGGCTTCAAAGCTAATAGGTAAATATTTCCTTTGGTTCTATCGAACTCGTTACACTTCCACTCCAATTTTATTTTTGTATTAGCTAGATTTTCAATACTTGAATGACACTCTTTATGACACTAATAATTGTTTCTATGTGAATATAGCAGTGAAGTAATATGGTCAGATTTTGAAGAAGAAGCTTCAAACCTAATAGGTAAATATTTTCTTTCATTTTGCTGAATTTGTTGCCCTGTCAGTCTTTGAATTTGTTTTTGCATTAACTAGATGTTCAATAATTGAATGAAGCACGTTCATATTGTGTTGGACTGTTTGAATAAAGAATGGTACGTTGTAGCATGTAGGGCAGTCCAAAATAAATGTATTGCATATGGCAAGAGGCAATGTCTCTAAACTAGTGATCTTATTCAACACCATTACAGCATAGTATCTAGCAGTTTTCAACGTAAAATTGTTGATTTTAATTTGACTTCCCGTGGTTCCCTAGAATTAGAATAAACACATTGTCTTGTTAGAGAAATTCTTTGATTAATATTATATTATTTGTTCAAATTCTCATTTTATGCACTGTTAGTCCGGACAAAAGCAAAAGCCAAATTAATTACCGAAAAAGAAATTAAGCCAAATTTTCTTTTCTAATACTTCCCAGAGCACTCAGCACCCTTTGAAAATGGCAATTTACCTTCTATATATTTGGGCACTCCCCAGGGGCAGAGCCAGAATTGTAAAGTAAGGAGGGCTAAAAATAATTAAACATGATTGCTTAGTGTGTCATCCATACTCTAAATATAGAATTCTCATGCATCAATCATTCAATTAAACCTAATAATTTACAACCTTCTAATACATTTATACTTCTAAACTCTAATGTGTTTTCGAAGTCAAGAATCCATTGAAATATGATTCATACAAGTATTAAAACAAACGCCTGCAAGAATGCAAGATATATATGTTCTTTATTAATAAATTCAAATTAGAAAGTAAGACCTGTGTGTTTGGCCTCTAGCTAGTTATTAATCCATTATATAGTAAATTACCTAATTTAATAAGAAACCATCAAGTCATCAACAAAGCTGGTTTTTTTTTTTTTTACAAAAACAAAAATCAATATTTCACTTGATTAACAATAATAAAAAAATTGAGTCTAGGTCTTTTTCTATAGACTAACAATGTGTTTGGTTTATTGGACTAGACTATGCTATGTTTTATTATGGCTTCTTTTGTGATTGGGCATGTCCATTGTTCATGGACTTGCTCATATTTAAGGATTGGCCTTTATAAATTTTATAACTCTTTTTATTTATAGAAAGACTATGGATTGGGTTAATAGGAAGATGAAGAATAATACATGGGTTTATAAGAACAATAGTATTAAATTTTTTTCTTTTCAATTGGACCTGGGCTATAGCTCAGGTTAGCCCATTACTAGTTCCTCCCCTGGCACTCCCCTCATCTCTTTAAGCCTCTTGGGTTTGTTTGGTTAGCATGTAATAGATAGAAAGGAAAAAAAATAAAAAATATTTAAATTTGTTAATATTTTGGTTAGGGTGAAAGTAATTTTCTTCTAACTGCTTAATTTTCCTTAAAAATTTCTTGACATAAAACATAGAAAAATTTTACTTTTCTTCATATCTTAGTTTCCTATTATACCCATGTCACCCTCCTCCCTTTCTCCACAAACCTCTCTACAAACTTCTCTAACAAGCGAGTTTCCTTCGTTTGTAAATTGCTTATAAGATAATGTAATATTAAATTAATTGCATTTATAGTTTTATATGTGCATACAAAATTAAATTTATATTGTACTTTTTTCTTTTCATAATTAATAATGATTGAGAGTGATATATATATACTAAATTTGAAATTATAATTTAATTCATACATGTATTTTTGTATACACACACTTCTTATATTAGATGTACCAAAAACTCATTTAGCTTTAACTCTACGTATATTAAATGTATCAAACAAATTTAGTTCCAAGTACTTCATTTCAATTTGACTAAGCTTTTATTTCTTTTTCTTTTCTTTTTTTTCTTCTATGACTAAAAGGGTATATATTAACTTCAACCTTTTATTCTCAATATTTTTCGGATCAATTTTTTTTATTAATTAAACTTGCACCTATAATCACATATATCTAATTATTAAACATAAGAAGACAAATATCACAATGTTCATTGTTTTATCTTTGAACTTGAAAAATTAATTTTGTTTATAATTCAAGAGAGATGATAGTGTTTCAAAAGTGCACAAAGTAATCTTATAATTAAAAGGGTAATTTTGGGAATTACAATCACTTTCTTTTTACTTTTATTTTTTCAAAACTCATAAAACAATATTTTCTCACAACTTTCTTGAAAATTTTTCTTACTAATCAAATACATGATAGAAACTTAATTTTCTTTTCATTTCTTTTACCTTCTTTCATTTTCACTTTTCGTCAAAAATTTCTATCTAACCACACGGACCTTAATGTAAATCCCAAACTAGGAAAATTACTCACGAAATCAATCATTGCGAGCTGGGATCCTTTGCTATTCAACACAACATTGGACTGTCAAATCAAACACAGTAGTGTGTGCTTCATTCAGGGCTGTTGCAGAGCACAAGATTTGTACAGTAGACGATCGTGTCTCCAATCGCTGAACCAACAAACATTTGTCTAATGTTTTTTTTTTTTAGGGTAAAACATTTGTCTAATGTTGCTAGATGCTTGTCCGAAAAATTAATTCTCTTCAATGTGCAAATTTACTGGTCTAGCAATTCCATCTTACCTAAGATCTAAGAAGCTATCAATGTAGAAACTTTCTAATTTTGGTCGGTTAGAACTTGCAACTTTAAACAAAAACATATATGGACTAATTATATAGGTAAATTGCAAAAAATCACTCTGAACTACTATTAGTGAATCAGCAACAAATACCCTTATATTACAAAAGTTGCAAAAAATACTCCTAAACTATACATTTTTGTTGTAGATGACACCATTCGGTGATGCTCCAGTTGGATCTCGTCGTTAAAATGATCACGTGACACACATCTTTAAATTAAAGGACAATAATACCCTTCTAAACATGAGAGGACCATAATACCCCATTTTTAGACCTTTAGATCCAAACACCAAATAAGATTATGGAGACAGACCCAAACACAACCTAATCTAATTTTCCAAAAATCCCTAGCTCTTCTCTCTCTCTCTATCTATCCATCTCTATCTCTCTCTCTCTCTATCTATCCATCTCTCTCTCTCTCTCTCTCTCTCTCTCTCTATATATATATATATATATATATATATATATATATATATATATCGTCTGTATACATATATTGACAGTGTCTCTGTCTCTTACCCTTATCCCTTATGTTTATATACATATATAGAGAGAGAGATAAAAACACTCTTCATCTTCTTCGCATCAAACGAATAGATAAATAAATAAAAAATTTACTAACCCAAACACACCTTATCCCATTGCCGTTTCGCTTTTCATACCCGCCGTCCTAGGAATTTAACCCATCGCCTATCATTGCAGAGTGTTTTTTTTTTTTTTGGTTAAGCAATTGAGGCCAACAATTAATTTCACTACGTATTGGAAAAGTTGATGCACAAAGAGGCAAAGCTTATGTCAATACACAATATTCATCATAAACACATACAATCACACATATATATGTATATAATTCATCATCTTCTTCACAAAAACGCAGTGTATTCTAATAAAAATAAAAAATATAACCCTCTTAAACAACCAAACACACCCTTATGTCAATACACACTGTTCATCAACACACAAATATTTATATATATATAACATTGTTCATCATCTTCTTCAAAACGCATAGTGGTTTCTGAAAAAAAAAAAAAAAAAAAAAAAAAAAAAGAAAGAGAGAGAGAAAAAAAAATCGTGTTCATCGCATAAGAAATCACACAATTATGAAAGCAAATGATACAAACTGATACAAAAGGAATTCTAGTAAAAATTGCAGGGTCTTGTCGATGAAAAAGAAATATTGGCCTAAAATCCCCAAACCTTTAATTTCAGGGGTCTTGAACCGGTTCAGGTCCTCAAAACCCTTTTTGTGTTGCAGAAACTCAACTTTGGCCTCCCATCTTCAAGCTGTCAGAACTCTTTCGTTTTAATTCCGAATTAGTCTGTTCTTGAGTCTAAACGGACTGTGTCGAAGTAAGCTTTCCAATGGTACCAATTTTAGTTTCTGATTTTACTCATAACTCGATATATCCTTGCTTTAGTGAGAGGGTGTCGGAATTTGGTTCGAACCGAGATAGGGTTCTAATGGGGTTTCTCTTCTTTTGGCCTTAGAACTTCATGTGAGGTTACCAAATGATGTTTTTGGATATTTTTGATCTCATTTGACTTGTTATAAGTTAAATTCACTCCACTTAGGGTAAAATGGTGTGACCATTTTACCCTTGGGGTTTACTTTGTTCGATTTTTAAAACCTAGCTTCCATTTTTGCTTCTATTTGAGTTTTGTGGCTTCATGGGAAGTTACCTTGGTGTCTTAGAGATGATATTCATCTCTAGAAACCCCTTCTCTTTCGCTTCCGCATTTAGGATCCAATATCAGGTCAGTTTCGGGTCACTGACACACCGGGTTTGAAAAATCAGGGCCACCACAAGTACTATAGTATTACTCTGCTACATCCACAACATATTATATCGTGCATTATATCTGTTCTACTTTCCTACCTAAGGGACTCTATGGGAAGGCGTGTTAGAGTTGCATCAATATTCTTTTTTGGTTTATATACTGCACAAATAATAATAATAATAAAAAAATAAAATAACATTTACCTTCATGCATAGACATCACTAAATAAAATAATATAAATTTAAAGAATTTCCAAAATAAATTGGAGGATTTTCAATTATATCAATACATATTTTTACAAGCTTTTATTCATATAAAATCAAGAACTATAATAATGAGATTATCCAAAATAATAACATTTTTTTCTCCTAAAACGAGTTGGCGGGTTATGACGGGTTGACTCGACCCATTTTAACTTAACCCATATTTAACCCGCTACAAGCGGATTAAATATGAGTCATATTAGACCCGCCCATATTAGACCTTACCCAAACCCGACCCAACCAGCTTGTTTGCTACCCTTAGGTGTGAGTGGCAAACTATTGAATCTTGGGCTGAGTGGTTTGGAGGGCTGATGAGAGATGAGGTAGGGATTAGGGTGAGAAGTCCAAAGTTGCAAACTTGGCTATTGGAGAGGATTCAATGACAGAATAGCCGAAGCTGTGATGCAGAGGACCTGCTTGGCACCAATTGTCAAACCATAAGTAAGTTTTCCTTCCATTACCACTATATGTTTAATTAGTTTGGCAACTGTATGCCCAGGGCTAGCCCTGAGATTCCAAATATTTTGAGAGGCCCTAGGCGAACTTTCAAATGTAAGGCGCTTGAGTTTCACACGCGTAAAAAAGAATTATAAGAGTATGAAATTTTAACACGATGTTTTCAAATTCTATAGCTAATATATTTTTTCCCCTGTGCATTGTGCATATGACAACTAATTAATAACTATAAATTTATCACCACCAACAAATAATTGTGCACATGTACAGTGTGCATAAAACAACTAACTAATAAGTATAAATCTATCACCACCAATAAATAATTGTGCGTCTGTGCAGCGTGCTTAAGACAACTAACTAATAATAACTATAAATTTTTATCACCACTAATAAATAATTGTGCGTATATGCAGTGTGCATAAGATAGCTAACTAATAACAATAAATTTATCAATTATAGAGTTCGAAATTTTCACAGGCACAAAATAAAAAATGAAGAGAACTAAAAACTGCAGCTTCTTTTACATTCATTGTTTATATAGCTACTAACATTTGATGATTACAGATGTCAAAAATATGTGGAGACGAGGTGACCATATATATATAGGAGGCTGAACTTTAAGAAGTAGTGGGACTTTAAGGTTATATTTGGCATCCACTATCATATATAGTTTTATCTTTCACTCTTTCTATTAACTACACTACACTTTGTGTGTGTGTTTTTTTGGTAACCAATTACCAAATTGTTTATCTATTAACATAAATATATATCTCTATAAATATAGTTTTCTCTCTCTAGATTTTCTCCTTAATTATATATATTATCTATTTCATAATTTTTTTTTATTTGAAAAAGAAAAAAAAAAAGAAAGATGAATGGAGTTACAAAATTAGAAACAAATGATGCAAGATCGGAGTTTCCAGCACCGACGATGTTTCCGGCGAGATCAAGTGAATTCCAGGAGAGGAGGAAGGTTGAGATTAGGATGGTTGAGATCGATATTGGTCTTGGCCTTGGCGCTGCGAAACTTACTAGCCACCGCATCGTAGGAGAGGAGGTTGTGCTCCTTTGAATCCATGATGAACTCTATCTCTACATCCGCCATGGTTGGACCTCTGTGTGTGAGAGGTTTAAGATATCGTTTTTGGTCTTTAATTTTGAAAAGAGAGTTTAGAAGAGGAGAAAAAGAGAGAGATAGGAGGCAGATGTATGTATAATTTTTTTGTATTGCAGATTGTATGGTATAAGTATATTTGTATACGGTATTTGTGCTTGTGGTAAAAATTAAAGTAGCTGAGTAAACATTTGGGCAAACTATAATGACCTCCTATGAGGTTTGGCCTAATTGCAAGTAAACCTGAGGTTTACCTTTTTTTTTGCAATGTGTTTGATAAATGCTCAAATGTGATATATTTTAGCACCTAATTTAGGGTATTTTAGTCCAATCATCTATCTTGCTTTCATATTTTAGTACTTATTTGTGTTTTTGTCTATTTCAGGTCAATAAGGTTCAAGCAGGTTAAAAAGAGCCTTTTAGCTCAGTTTTGGAGCTAAGGAGAAGACCCATAAGAAACCAGGAAAATTGCACCTGTGAAGCTTCGATCGATCGAAGGAAGTCCCGATTGATCGAAGAAGGCTACAATCGATCGGAAAGAAGGCAGTGCCAGCTCAATGGATAAGGTTGCCAAGTGTCAAAAATATCTTGCCATGTCAGCTTCGATCGATCGAAATAAGTGTTGGATCGATCGAAGTGACTACTGGCAGTGTGCTGTCTAATTCCCGAACGCCCCCGGACTCTACCAACTTTTGTAGCTGCGAATTTCCACCAATCAAATGCAGTATTTATGACTTGTTGCCTACTCAAAGAGGCTTGTATATAAACTAAAGAGACCAATTTGTATAGAGTTTTTCTAGTTGATATTTTTACCAAATATAGAAATAGTTTCTCTCTAGAACTAGGGTTTTGGGAAGAAAGTAAGGAGGAAGAAGATGGTACCAACCTTGAAGACAACCCTTGAGGGTTCCATGGCCATTACCATGAGTGGCTAAATCTTTTTCTCTTGGGGCTAGAGATATCCCCTAGGCTAGCTTCCTAAACCTAACATTTTTGTGATTTTTGGGGATTTTAGGTGTAATTGATGTTTTGACCATAAATAAATATAGATCTTGTGTTTTTACATGATTTGTATGAATTAATGTTTTCAATTGATCATCTAATTCTATCCATATGTCTATGTATGCTAGAATGAATGTGCATGTGCTTAGCTCTAGATTTTATGAGTTTGATACATGTCTGTGTGTGTTGAAATTATGAATCTAGTGATGGTTAAGGCACGGTACTTAATTGATTACTCTTATGGTTTATTTGATGGATCATGCTTATTTCTTGATAGATTGTGCTACTTCTGTAACTTAATTAGTTTAATTTTCATGTCATTAGTATAGTTGCAATGTAATTGTTTTAATTTCTTAGATAGGTGGACAATCCATTCTTATTGTTTGATGATCCATACTTATTAGTACAAGAAGTACATTTCTCTAGATTTTTGAGTGTGCATTAATTGTGATTTAATTGAATGGTTAATGGTCTAATTTGATAGGTTGTATTACTTACTAGATTGATTAGACAATCTATGCTTATTTGCCATCTATGCTTAGTTTTCAATTGATGACACACACACACATTTGATTTACAACATGAATTTCCCCTTAAATTTTCAATTGCTAGTGTTTGGTGAAGTGAAGTTTAGTGGTGAACTCTAAACCCCAAGACATTTCTCTCATACTCTTTTCCCTAATTTCTAGATTGTGTTTGAAATTGCTTGTTTTAATTGAACTATTAGTTTAATTTACCAACCAAAGCCTATTTGATTATTCGATTTATTAATCCAACATTGATTCCAGAATACCTTGCAAGTCCCTTGGGATGATCCCTATTTGCTTTGGCTACGTTAGTAGCTAATAGTGGTAGTGACATTTTATAAATTTAAACTTAGCTTCACTATCACATTTTATCACAATTTTGGCACATAGGAACGGCCGTGACCAGTGTTCCCATAAGGTTTGATCGATTTTACAAAGACCTCCCCTCCTTACAATTTTTGTCAAAAAAATTAGTTGAAGAAACCAAAATGCCCATTAACTAAGTGTAAAGACTCTATTACCCTTATAGTTTTATGAAATAACAAAAAAAAAAAAAAAAAAAAAAACAAAAAGACCTTGTTTTAATGAACAGAAATACCTTTCTCCTGCCCTTTCTCCCTCTCTTCCTCCACCCACCCAAAAGCTACAGTAATTACACGGTACAAGATACAAGAGACCACACATGCCCTTCTTTAATAACCAAACAACTGAATTTGAGTGGTGGGGCCATATCATACATGTCATTTCATGCTAACCAAATCAATTGTTGCTAATACGTGGATTTTCTATTAATTAATTTTTATTCTTTTTTGTCTTTTACGTAATTTTTATTTCTTTATGTTACTTTATTTTTAATTATATTATTTTTTTTGGAAATAAAATTTTTATCAATATATATATATATATATATATATTAATTTCGTCAAACCCTTAATAAATGCAGGTTGTAGCTTGTGCATTTGCTAATTCAGCATTTGAAAATAATCATTTTCTAGTATTGTCATAAAACGATGCTTCAAATGTTTTTATTTTTTATTGTTTTGTAAGGTTGATACTTCAAATGTTGATATTCAAAGATTCACAAGAATTTCTCAGTGTAATGCGTTAATTTTTATATGTAGTGATTGATTTGCAGCTTAATAATTGCAGAAGACCTAAGTTGATTCCTCCATTGATTCCAGCGAAGTTCAGATTGTTGGGTTACATTGAAACGGGCAAGGTCCGAGTAGAAGCCGGCAACGGAGCTATTTGAACCAAACTGAAACTCCATTGAATTATATCAATCCGAGACTGAGATAATGACTCAATTGAAGCTTCTTGCCGCTCCAACCGAGACCCAATAAAATTGACGCATTGTAAAACAAATTATTTTTTTATTTTTTTCATCAAACTCCGAATAAAAGTGTCTTATAAGGACCTTTTTCAGCTAATTATGGATCACTCTATCATAAAACCGATTAACATTTTGAGCAATTTCAATTAAGGAAGTACAATAAGGAGGCTTAGCATTTATCTCTATATTTGTCACATAAATTATTATATTATTTTCTTTTCTCAAAATGATTTATTCTTTCAAATATTACGTTCACTTTCAAATTATTGGAAAATCGAAAAAAAGGTCTGATCATTTATTTGATTACTCCGTGATTGGTTATTATTAACCCATCATGGAAACCAGATCAACATCGTGACTAAACACAACCCAAAACAAGCCATAGACATATCAGTTAGTCGAGGGCAAGTATTGTCTATCATGAATAGTTTTACACTTTCACATCATCCTCTACCTCGTTGGACCTCCTCTCTTATTAATACTTTGTATCTTATTGACAGCAAAATTTATTGCTTCTGTTGTTTATTTATTTTATTTTTATAAGGTAAAAAGTATTAAAAATTAAGTTAATATACATAAAGAGTGACACTTCAAAATTTATCTAGGCGTTACTCTCACTAGACTATTTAGAACACCTAGTTTGCGTAGTTAGATTCATAACATTAAAGCATCTTTAACCGCTGTCTATATTTTTATTTGCGTGTCATGATAGATTTACACAAAAAAAATTAGATTATTTACTTTTAGATCCAGCTGTTATTTTATACCTTTTGTATAAAAATATATTCTCTAATAATAAGCAATCACGTGTTATGCCAAGATCTCACATAATTTTTACTCCCTCCGTCCTTTTTTAATTGTCCGTCTCGTAAATTGATGGAGGTTGTACATACCTACTTAGTATAAGTTTTATTATTTAATAAAATGAAAAAGAAAAAAGAAAAAAAAAATACCGTATAAAAATATAATTTTACACATTAATTAATAACGTCACTTATCTTCAATTAAAAAAAATTACACATCATTGTATATATCATAAACAAAAATATTTTTGGGTTAATTATAACGACACCCCCTGAAGTTTGACATAATGACAACAATATATAAGTTGACCCATTTTTGAACGATGACACCCCCTTAGGTTTGAAAAAGTTAACAAAGACACCCCAATGGTCCTGAATTGACATTATTGCCCTTGACACATTCAATTACTAATTTATTTAATATAATTATTTTTTTATTGACTAATATACCCCACCATAGCGACCACCACCCACCAGTCGCCACCACCAATACTACCACCCCTTCTTTCTCTCTCTCCACCCACCACTACAACGTCCGCCACCATAAACAAAACACATCAATTGAACACATGAAAAACCCACAAAAATCCAGCCAATTGAACCCATGAAAAACCCACAAAAATTTCTAATTGTTGCACAAACACACAGATTTATAGATATATATAAATCTTAAACCCCCAATCTCATACACTTGAGAAGATGATGCCTAGACCCCAAACCCAACCTATCAATCCTCACTAAACTCGATGACCGGTGGAGTAAAGGCCGAGCTCTGCGCCATGCCTCGCCGCCACCGCTACCGTTCCGAGCTTTGCGTTAAGGACGTCTCGATCGCCACCGTTGTCGAAGAGAAGAAGCTGTTGGTCTTGATGAGTCTCGGAGGTTCTTTCAACTGATGTGGACTGACGAGGATACCATCGAGCTGTTGCAGGATTCGCGAATCGTGAACCAGGAAATTGTCGCCGGAATCACAACTGATTCCTTATTGCCGGCTCGAATTGTGATTTGCCCGGCAACGGCCTTTGCCAACAAAAACTTCGATATACTCTTCGGCAATGGCCTCTGCTCGAACCCGCATCGTAATCTAAAACCCCTGTTGCCGCCTCTGTCAACGGCATCGCCGGACTGAAAAGAGATTGATCTCCACCGTTCCTCCACTTCATCATGTTTGTTGGGTTTTGTGTGGCTTTGCAGTGGTGGGTGGAGAGAGATTGGGGAATTGGGTGTGGCAGCGTAGTGGAGAGAGGTTGGGGAATTGGGTGTGGCAGCGTAGTAGGGCGACGTCGATGAGGGTGGTGGCGGCTAGTGCTCTCTTCCCCGCTGCTCTTCCACACATATATATACATATATATATATGTATATATATATATATATATATATATATATATTATATGTATATTATGCTAATATTTTAATATATTACACTAATATTTAATAATACACTAATATTTTAATATATTACACTAATATTAGAGTAATAATTTAAGGGTAATAATGTATATATATAAGGATAAATTTGACTTTTCATGAGTTCTGATATTTTACAATAAAAATAAATTAAATATTGAAGGGCAATCTCGTCTTTTCTAACATTTTAAGGGCTTATTTGGATCAAAATTATCGTAGCGGGTGTCTTTGTCAAAAAAAATAGCTAAATTATATATGGTTGTCATTATATCAAACCTCAGGGGTGTCAGTTGTAATTAACCCAATATTTTTTAACTGCCGAAGATGCTCTTGGAATCCCATTTCCTGTGGAGTCATATAAACGTACTCCGTGTAGCTTTATATGACTCCACAGGAAGACTTCCGAATAACACATTTTATTTTATCCTCCTTTCTCCTCTCTCTCTCTCTCCACCAAATCTCGAAATCATCTCACAAGTGAAATCAGTGAGGCTCCGGCGAACCGATTTGCCAATAAATCGGTTCAAACGGTGACGAAACATGCCTCTCAATCTTCAGGTTACAAACTATACTTTCTGCTACTCTTCATTAAATTTTAATGGGCGTTATATGTATTATGTATGAATTTTTTGAGTTATTATCATACTTGTTTGATTTATTTACTTTTTTATTGCATTCATTTTCTGCTACTCTGTACTGATAATTGGTTTTTTTTTTTCCCCAGTTTTACAAATTTATTTCTTCTTGTTTATATTTCTAGATCTGATGTGATCATTGAACAAGTTATTGTTGCAAAGGCTTCAAAATATATTGTTCAGTTTTAGAATATATTTTTACAGTTTTAAAATATTCCTCTTTTATTCTAATAATATAGGTTGCTTTTCCGGGAAGAAGACATTGTTTGGATTGAGTAGAGTTCGGAAAAAAAAAATTAGGTATGATTTTTTTGAGTTATTATCATTCTTGTTTGATTTATTTACTTTTTTATTACATTCATTTTTGTTTAATTAAATGGTCCAAGCGTTTACGTTTTCTTTCTAATGTTGGTACTACCCTTTTAAAAATATATCCAGTATATATATATATATATATATATATATATATATATATATATACCTTGTCGTTTATATATATACAGACCTAATAAATTCATTCTCTGAAATAATAATGTCGTTTTTGTTGTTTGATATTTTAAAATTATATACGTTACATAGATTATAACATTGGATATAACCATGGTCCAAACCACTCTTTCTCGTCTTCTCTTTCTAATCTGCCAAACAATCAGCCTTCACCCACCATTTCTATCTATCCCTTCCACACAGAGAGAAAAGTCAGATTAATTGATTCTAGGGTTATGCCTCCCCGATCTTCGGGTAACTAATTCACATTACTACTTGTACTGCTACTTACTCTTCTTTCTATATTATTAGTTGGAATTTGCCTTGATTTTCGGACAGATTTTATATGTTTTTTTATTTTTCATTTTTTTCCTTTCTTCTTTTGGAAGAAGAAAGCTCACTGAATTGAGTGGAATCGGAAAAGAGATTGGTATATTAATTCCTTGGACATGTTTTTAATTTTTTCTTATAGAAATTTACTTTATTTATTTTTGAAGTTAGATCTTACTACTTTTTACTAATTGCTTTACTCATATGTAGAAAATTTTACTATTAAATTGTTTCTTCATTGAGAATACCTACCATTTGCTCCTATTTAATCAAGCTATTAATTTAATTTTTTTTTTTTTTTTTTTTCCATAAATCAAACTTTGTCGATGAATTTCCTGAAAAACTTTTCTGTTTCACTGATAAAAATAGTCTCAAAGTATGAAATGGTCCTTGTTTTATGTCTCTCGTCTTAGTTTTGTATCTACTCCCTTCAACAAACTAGAAACCCATAAAAAGTGTCAAACAAAAGTGTTATGTTTGGAACCTCCCCAAACATATCACTTTTTATGGAATAGAGAGAGAAGTACCCAACATTGGATGTTATTTCAACATGGTTTGAAATGTCTGCATTTGTTACTCATTGAAAAAATACATTTTCGAGATTGATTTGACTTATGGCTTTATCATTTTCTTCATTATTTATTTATTTATTTATTATTATTAATTTTTTTTTTTTTTTTTTTCTTTCATTTGATCAAGTTCATGAAAATTAGATTATGGATTGGGGCAATTTAATTTAAGACCACTTGTTAGGAAGACCTAATTAGGAGAATGTAAAAATTCAAATATACAGGGGATTGAACGAAATTTATTTGGGGAGATACTGCGACCATATTAAAGAAATTGGTGAAAGTATATAGAAAAAGATTTCAGCAAAATTTTTAGGTAAGGACATGTTGATTTTGTTTTTGTTAAGGTTTAATTTTTTTTTTTTTTTTTTTTTATAATCAAAATGTTTATTTCTTATTTTTTTAGGAGCGTTATAAAATGCCTATGGGATTTCTACTCCGTAGAACTTTATTATAGGGATTTGGAGAGTGGCATGGTCATTGATTCGGGGGGGCATCCTCGCCTTGTGATCGTATCAAAGAACACTCTGATACTGATGATATTACGAAATACATCGACTTCTTGGAGTGTGTGATATTACTATGTTTTCTGTTGTAATTAATGGAAAATTTCCGAGAAAGTTTAAGGTCAGGAAATTTCCAATGTCACCTTTGTATGAATGTGCCATCTTTACTTGTTAATAAAGATTAACATCTGAGAAGTTGCATACTTGCTCTTTTCTTTGTGGTGCTATTTGAATATATGAGTGGTAGATTTGTTAATCGTCATTAGTAAGTACAGATGGCATATTCATATTCTTTGTGGTGCTATTTGTTATATTTTAAGTGGTTACTTTTATTGTGAGGGGGTAAATGTAATGACTGGATTTGATTTCTTTCTACACCTTATACAGTGAGAGAAGATGATTGGGCAAGCTTGGCAGTGCCAGTTTTTTGTTTTTTTTTTTTGTTAACACTTGGTTTTCTTAATATATTTCTTTCTTAGGACTTTAAACGTATTGCATAGGACTTATATGTATTTTTTTTTTTGGACAATGATGGAAACAAAATTAATTACTGAAACTAACTACTGAAAGTTGATCCATTTGCAGCTCTACTAATAAGCTCTAACTTCAACCATTGCAATTTCCTGGATTATTGTCTATTTTCTAACCTGCTCACTTTCTAAAAAATTTGATGAATAGATTCATCGTTTTTCCTTTTGGTACTCATGATATTACGAAAGACATGGACTTAGAGTGTGTGAATCAAAATCTGTTGGTATTCATGAGATTTATAAACACTTCTTTTGCATATATATGAATATAACATTTTTCTTTTTTCTTTTACATGATAGGGGAATCTTACATGATAAGGGAACCTTAAATCCAAAGTTCATCCTGGATGCATAATTTTTATGGACTGAAGTTGAAAAAGTGCAGTTCATGGAGAAATTTGTAGGGTTGCTTTCTATTGGGAGGTTCAATGGTGCTGAAGTTGAAGGAAATTTTGGTCAAGTTTTTTGGATTGAAAAAAATAAGGAACCGGTCTAAACTCTGGAAATTTTTTGAGCGTAGTTTGAAGGAAGATAGGTATAGTACAGTTGATGGGATGAAAATAATTTTTGGTGAACTGCAAGGCGGTCTCACCATTTCAAGGTTCTTTAAGAATGCGTATGGTCATTCTAATGACCCACGGAAGAAAATTAACTATTACACCAAGATATGTGATCATGTGTCTGTATTTTGTTTAAACATAACCACTTCTATTTTTTTTTTGCTTTCTATTCATTTTGCAGCATTTTGCAGATGGAATGCAAGACAGAGATTGAAGTGACACAAGTGAAAAGAATGGCAATTGGTAGGGACCTGATTTTTTAATTTTCTCCCACCGTTTGTGTTATTAATTCGGTAATTATTTTATTTTTTTTTATACGAATCATGTTCAGTGGTATTTGAGGAGTAACCCCGAGGAGGACTACTTTTTATCAGACTGAAAAGTTATAACAAACCGCTTGTATGATTTTTGTTTACTATATTTTCTATTGTAGTTAATGAAAAATTTCCCCAGGTGCAGAAAGTTTAAGGTCAGGGAAATTCCAATGTCTCTTTGCTTAATTGTGAACTCTATGAATGTGCCATCTGTACTTGTTAATGAAGACATTTGAGAAGTTGCATACCTGGTTTTTCCTTTGTGGTGCTATTTGAATAGATGAGTTGTAGATTTGTTATATTCTAAGTGGTTACTTTTATTGTGTGGGGGAAAATGTATTGGCTGGATTTGATTTCTTTTTGCCCCTTATACGGTGAAAGAAGATGATTGGGCAAGCTTGGCAGTGCTAGTTTTTTATTTTTATTTATTTATTATTATTATTTTTTTTTACACTTCAGCCATTGCAATTTCCTGGATTATTCTCTGTTTTCTAATCTGTTCACATTCTATAATAGGCAAGGACTATTTTCTTACCTTGCACACTCTAAAATGGAGCTAGTAATGTTGCTCCTCCTTATTACACATGACACGTGTATGTATACAGGTAGTATCTAAAATAGAGAGTATTTTTTTGAATTTAAACGTGTAGTTAGCGTGGCTGATTTTATATATTTTATGATTTAATTTTTTTAATAAACATTTTTGAGTAGAAAACGATTAGAATAATCAATAATTAAATTAGTCACAAGACATTAATGATTAGAGATTTATTTATATTCTAAAGGAGAAAACCCTGGATGCACTACTGATTGTACTATAAATGTTAATGTAGAAAAGAAGAATCTCACCCGTTCAGGGTTTGTTTGGTTAGGTTTGGTTAGCGTCAAATAATTAGAAAGAAAAAGAAAAAAGAGTGTTTTTAAATTTTTAGGAAGTTTGGTTAGAAGAAAAGTGAAAGTTTTGGAAAAAATAGGATTTTTTATTTGAAAATTTTCTTCAAAACTTTTCTTCGTTAAAACACACGAAAATTAACTTTCCCGCAAAAATTATGCACTTTATATATTACTTTTCTATTATATTCTCTCTTCGTTCTTCTTTAAATTCGAGTTTCATTCTTATATAAATTGCTTGTTTATATAATCATGTATTACTAATTTAATTATTTGTATTTTTATGTGTGCATCCAACTTTAATTTATTTTTTCCTTTCATTATTAATTTTTTTTTATTTTTATTTTATTTTTTTAACTTTTTCGAAAGGTCTGAAATTAGTAAAATATTTTTTATCATAATTGATAATGATTAAGAGTTGTTATATATATACATAATTATTTGTTGATAAGAGTGTTAGGTAAAAACTGAATTAGTGTTGAGATTCTTGATCAATGATTTAAAACTTTGATTTGTTTCATAACTCGACGCCTATTAACGTTCGTTGTATAATGGTACTCTGTGTGTGTTCAAACTAGAGCCAAAACTCTAACTTTATAAACACTCCAAAGCTCACCTTTTTTTTTAGGTTTTGTTCTTCGAAGAATATGTGTTAGTTTTTATATTCATGAAGTATTTTTAGAGGTAAAAGCAATATAAGAATTTAAACAAATAACTTTGTATGAATCTTCTTTATCTTTTACTTTGTTGGCCCATCGACTCGTGACATAAAAAATTTGATTTATCAAAAAGTTTATTTTTCTGAATTTCAAAATAATAATAATAATAATAATAATAAGAAGAAGAAGAAGAAGAAGGAAAAATAAATAATAAATAATAAAAATAAAACTAACTTAAGGAGAAAATGAATATTTGAATCCACGTAGGACAAGTGAATATATATATATATTCTATTCTATTTTGTTTCATATTTCATTATTTTCTTACTAAAATAAATAATTAAGTATAAATAATATTCATCTAACATAAATTTATTTATTTATTTTACTATTTGAATTTATAAGGGTATTTTTAGTAAGTAGAATCATTTTATTTTCTATTTCATGCTATCCAAATTAACAAAATAAATTTTTCTCACAATTTTCGAAGAAAATTTTCTTATTAACCAAATGCATGATGGAAATTTGATTTTTCTTTCTTTCACTCTCACTTTTCATAAAAAATTCCGTTTAACCAAACGGAACCTAAAGGAAAAAAAAAAAAAAAAAAAAAAAAAAAAAATCAAGTCCAACGTTGAAAAATAAAATTATTACGCCATATAATACAGCTCCTCAAAGATCTTTATTTATAAATATGCTAGCGATAATGATTAATGACTGAGCCAAAATTTACATGGGGGCTGAAGAAATTGAAAAAAATAAATATAAGAACATAATATTGAATGATAATATTTTTTGTTTATTGCATTCACAATTATCCTTGGTGATTGTTTAAAATACCTAGTATATTCATGGTAAGTTTAGTGTTGCACAAAAATGTATAAATTTTAGAATATTTAGAATATGTATGCTAAATGGGCATCAACTTTTATATTTATAAAAGCCACTTAACTATAATGAGAAGGGATTGAATCTCCTGTTGGAATTAAACTTGACCTTTATGTTTTCACAAGATTGAAAAAGAGAGTTGGGTTGGTGATTAAATTACAATTCAATTAATAAAAATGCAAATAAATTTAAACTAAATAAATCAGGTTTGAATGATAAAAAGATAGGTCTTAGGGTATAAGAATCACCATTAAACTATTCACTAATTCACATACTTTCAACTAATTGGGAAAAATATTATTGTAATCTAAATGCAACCACAAATTGCAATATTAAGTATGGACCATCAAATTCAAGCATGAATTGTCTACCTAATCAACAAGTAAACTAAGGTATGGTACAACCCATCAAGCCTAAGCGTAATTTATCAAATTAGTTAACAACTATAGCACACATCAATCTAGAGAATAATGCAATTTGCGACAATAAGCCATAGACTATCAAAATCAAGTATGAATTGTCCACCTAATAACAAGTAAATTAAGGTGTAGCACAACCCATCAAACTTAAGCCAAAGCTGATGCAGCCTCTCATCTTTTTCTATGATCGGTCGAGGACAGAATGAGTCAATGTTATCCGAAATAATTTGTATTATTTTTTAAAATCAAATAATAACCTATATTTTTATTTAAAGTAGTTCAAATATGAGCAAGTTTGAACTCATTATCAATATGTATTTCCATTTGATGTAGTTCGTATGAGTTCATTAACAATATATATTTCTACATTTAATGAAGTTAAGACATGAACAAGTTTGAGTTTATTAACAATTTGTATTTTTAGTTGATATAGTTGACTTGATGTTGTTTAAATATGAATAAGTTTGAGCACATTAACTATATGAATTTTTACATGTAGTTTTTTCTCCATCATAATCTTTTTGTGGCAAATAGGCCATTGTTAATAGTTTATAGTGTAAGATTATTTATTTAATTGTAGCCCACATGATTTGGACATGTGACATATTATTTGGTGGCTAAGTAAATAGATATCAATTAAAATTATTTATTTTTGGTCAACTTATAATTACCTTTTTGGTAATTACTTATTGGAGAAGTGTTTTCCTTTCTTATTCCTTACTTTGATGGAAAGTAGAATTATGTTACTAAAAGGAAAACTGGTCATTTCTGCCTTTATAAAAGTGCATATATTCCATTAATTATGTATAATTAATGAAAACAACACGTAAAAGTTTTATATGTGCAAAAGGCCAAGAGAGAGAAACCTGTTTCCACCTTTGCCTGTTAATCAGAGTTGCAGATTAGTTCGTGGTTAAAGAATCTAGACGTTGGATTTAATCTCAACAAGGTTTGATATCACAGATCGAGGTATTTATATCTAACTATATTATAGATATGTGAAAATCATGAAGTTCTAAGATATGGGATTCATGTAAATTTGTGATTAATGGCTTAACATGAATTATTAAATAATATTCTATTGTAATCAATTTAAACATCTATTACCCAACTAAGATGATTGATTCTCTGGATTGTTTTGATTTCCACGTTGCTGGGTTTGGCTTTGGCGAGAATAACTCAATATGGAAGGGGCTGTGCAAGAAGATCATTTTAGGCTCCTGCAAAATTGTGCAACCAATTGTTGGTCCACAAAAAGAAGTGTTTGATGTGGTGGTGGAAAGAAGTGGTGTCGAAAGAGAGAAAAGAGAGGTGGTGATGGGTGGTTCAGTGGTTTTTTTTTTTTTGAAAGGTAGGTCGGTGGTTTTGGGTAAACAGAAGGTGAAGAGGAAAAGCAAATGGATGGTGGCGGCGACAATAGTGGTGGGTGGTGGTACCAATATATGTGGCTAGAATTTATACTTACGCTAAAAGCAGCTCCAACGACCCAGGTTTTAGAAATTTTGAGCCTTTTTTAGCTATTTGGTTAGTACAATAAAGTCTTTAAAAATGGGCCTTATGTTTTGAGTCGCAGAATAGGTCGCCAAAAACAGCGACCCAGTTAGCGATTGAAGGCTGCCTTGTGCGGGCCCGTCCATTTTTTTTTTTTGCTTTTTAACTTTTGTGGCCTAGTAATACTATAGCTCAGCATACATTTAAGGGCGTGTTTGGCTTTAAAAAAACTTCCAAATATCAGTTTTTTTTTTTGGCATTTTTTTAATCCTCCCCCCCCCCCCCCAAAAAAAAATAAACCATAATTGAACTAAAGAGCCATTAAGGCACTGTTTGGTTGACACAAACAGTGTTCAGCCATCATCCACCACCAGAATCACTCCGACACTGACCTATGGTTCAGATCTCTAAAAGTCTTGGACGGAAAAGCTGACTTGGCCAAAGAGCGTGCTGGTGCCTTCTATTTTGGGGTTTTGACCTTATATTAAGTCTTAACATGCCCCGAAATATACATTTGATAGTGTAAAACATAATTAAACATCCATACATTTAATTAAACCAAAAATAAATTTGATACATCAATTGAAGCCAAAATAAATCCGGTTACACCAAAACATAGCCAAAAGGTAAATCACCATGCTAATCCAACAAAACCACAAAAATGCAATTCCATGAAATGCAATGCCAATGTAATGGAATGTCGCTCCCCATTTCCAAAATCTTTTCCAATCACAACAATTTCTAAACAGTTAATGTAACCTTGCCCTTGGCAACTTCATGGCACCACGAGAAAATAATTGGCTAACTATCCATAACCTAAGGTAACTCTTTAGTATTATTTGGGGCCTAGGTAGCTTAAACACGCTAGAGCAGTCTCCCTAGTTTCCTCTAGGTCCC